TACTCCAACTGTGGCCTGACCAAAGTCGCAAAGACGGGGAGTATCACCTCTCTGGACTGGCTTGAGAAGCATCTTTGGATGCATGACAAGATATGGCTGGCCTTGCTGGCTGTGGCCTGGCACTGGCAGCTCATGTTCATCTTGGAGTCAATAATGATTCCAAGATCCCTTTCCGCCTCTGTGCTTTCAAGAAGGGAACTCCCCAGCCTGTATGTATGCTGTGGATTCCTTCTCCCAAGGTGCAGCACCCTGCATTTGTCTATGTTGAACCCCATCCTATTCTCATCTGCCCACTTTTGTAGTCTGCAAGTTGTAGTCTCCCTTCAAGTGTGTCCACCTCGCCCCACATCTTAGTGTCATCAGCAAATTTGGACAGCGTGCTTTCCACCCCCTCATCCAAGTCGTTGATGAAGATGTTAAACAGTGCGGGCCTGAGGACACACAACAGTGTTGTGTGTTTTATTTCCTGTGTTGTGTGCACTGGACTCTGCTTTGATTATTAATAAATATATATGGTGTCTTTTTTTTTGATGTGCTATTTATGTGAAGGTGTGACTACTACTGTACTTCTTGTTCTTCTTCTGTGTTGTAATGTGTACCTTAAATAATATATCTCCTTCTTCTAGGACTCTGAGTTCTGCATTGTGTGTGTTAATCTCAATCTGAATCTCTGTCTGATTTCTGTGTTGTCTTTAGTCTGTATGTAAACTAACTATAATAATATTAATAACTAGTAACTATATATAATCTGATTCTGAATCTCTTCTTCTATGAATATCTGACTTCTTCTATGATGTGTGAGTGTGTATAATGTGTGCTTCTCTGCACAGTGATGGATCACACTGCCAAGGAAAACACTGAGCTTTCTTTTTTAAAAGTATTGCAAAAAAAAAAAAGAGAACAAATATAAATTGAAAGAAATTAATTGGACAGTAAATTAGAGAGATGCTAAACTAAGCTAAGCTAAAGTATATCCTATCCAGTCCTAACAGCAAAAGTAGCAGGCCACTGACTAGGAAGCCAGGCCAGTAGCCACAGTACCTTTGAGATGCTGTTGCTCAGGCAAAAACAGCTCAGGAAAGAGACAGAAAAGCCTGCACACAGAGGCTGTTTCTATGTCCCTTCCCCGAGACACAGTGATTGGAACAAGTCAAGGAGAAATCACAGTCACTGGCCAGCTAGAGATGTCAGTCCTTCCCTCCCTGCTCCCCATCCCCTCCGCGGCCCCCTCCCTCTTCTAAGTTTCTGTTTCCACATAAAGCCCTCCTTCTGAATTGCTGAATCTCTTCTGAATCGTTTCCGAATTGATTCGGAGGCTCTGAATCGATTCAGAAAGTTTTAAGCTTCTAGCAATTTCATTCGGCTTCAGAGATTCGGCCTCCGAATCGGGCTGAATCTTCTCCAAATCAAATCGTGAAGCGAAGCTTTGCACAGCCCTAGTGCCAGGGACTCTGAGTTCCATTCTCCATATTGCTACATTGACTTTGTGAATCAGCAAATCCCTTGACAGCTCTATACCTCCACTGCCGTTACCTCACTGTGAAATCTAATTAATGTTTCTGAAGCCCAAATCAGAGCAAGTGCACAGATTACACCCATCAACCTTCCATGTATGACAGCTCTTCCAGTCTTTGAATCACTTAAGCTGTTCTTCTCAGAAATTCCTCTAGTTTATGCCTGTGCTTCTCTTCCCTCCAGCTTATGCCAGGCCAACTGAACTGACGCAGTGCTCACCATTACCAACCTAAACAAGCATTTCCTTGCAGTTGGAATATGAATAGGCAGGCTGGGGTATTAGCAGCTGAAAGGCTATGTTGCAAGACTGTAACCCTCATGGCACAAATGTCCTGTGGCTTCTGTCACCTCTTCACACTACTGCACAGTCATTAACTAGAAAAGGAGACTAATCAAATCACAGATACCACTTTTAGGGTAATATCAATGAAACTGATATGTTACATTGTTATCTAAGTGGTGTCGTGGCATGGAATCCATGAAAGCACTCCCTGGACATTTGTTCCAAACCAAATCTCCCCTCCTTTCAGACTCTTTTGTAATTCAGCAGATGCCTCCCTCTGTATTTGCACAGTGTCAGTGACATTTCAGACAGTCTTTACTTTGGCATGGACTTACAAGCCCCTACCATGCTGGCATCCTGCTGGTTGCCAAGAACAGATGCAAAGAAGGACATATTCATGCACAGAGCCTTCGGAGAGCTCTCCCATCCTTGGTGATCAATCTTAGCACTTCTCTTTAGTAGGTTGGACCACTCTGGCTTCATCCAGCTGTTCTTAATGGCACCCATGGTAATGAAACTCTGTCAGTACTGATTACATGTTTGGCTGTAACTGGAACAGGACCAAAATAGCCCCTTCATCCCTGGTGAACAAACACACACTTCCCTGGGGACTGGAAGATTCTGCAGTTTAGTGGGAAGGAGAGAATTCATTTAACAATATCTTCCTGCTTCCTTGCCTTATAAGGCTGCTGTGGCTGAAGAGGTCTTTCCCGTGGGAAGGTCAGGCTGAAGGAGTGCCACTTTGGTACAGGGTCAAGTGCCTGTGAATCACTCAGATAACCAGTACCATAAAAAGATGAGGTGACATATTAAACAATATAGAAAAACTTTTAAGACTGATTTGTCTTGGAGCAGATAATGATCATTAGCCATGTTAGATTGAAGTCAGGCAGAAGGCAGGGTAGAGGTGTACTTTACAGACTGACAGAATCAGAGCGCATAAGGTTTTATGAGCCACAGCTGGGGCCCAGATAGAGGTACCCAATGGACCTCTGTTAGTCTTCAAAATTTATCATGGATCCCATGTACCCTTATTCATCACATTTTGAATTGAGCAGTGCAAGGCATAGTGTGAGCTGTGGACCTTGGCCTTGCAGATAACTAGTAATTCTTGGATCATAGTTCTGAAGACACCTGCCTCACTTATAGAAGTACGGTGTCTAAATACCCCTGAGGATTTGGCCTTAGGAACCTTTGAGGCAGTCACTGCCATAAAAGTAAACTATCACCCTCTGCAGCCAGAAATCAGATGGGAAAATCAAAATTGCAGTGGCAAGCAAATACAGTCATGTCCATACCTTGCTTAGGACTTCCTGGAGTGCCTCTTATAGCCTTGACAAAGAGATTGCCAGTTGGCACAGCTGCAGATGGATTGTTTTTTCACATGTATTTTACACTTGATAATTGATAACATAATTTAGGAGTCAGAGGTAGCTTAATAGGTTTGTTCTCACAGTGGGTACTGTCTGTGTGGACAAAGTATCCTCCTCTTATACAATTGGTCCATCATTGATTTCACATGCAGGCTGCATAGGAAAGTGAGAGACCGCATCCTGCTGCCTCATTATTACCTGTGTTCTGATTGCAGTAGAATCAGCCATTACTTTAACTTGCCTTGTTCTCTTTGAAAGGAAGCTGTTATAAAGACACTTTGCACACAGTTTGCATTTGAAATAGTGGCTGCAGTGCCATGTGCAGAAACAACATGTAAGTGCTCCGCTTACCCAAGCTCCAGTAAAGTATTTATGGGGATGGCATTTGGGAGGCAAACACAGCATTAGACTCCTCACAAACTGGCCTCACCTTTACTGGTGAATGGGGTCCTACTGATCTCCAGTCTGCATACAGAGCAGCATCTGTCATTTTTCATTTGTATCCTATTGACATGGGATGTTATGGGGGAGCTTTTAAAAAATGTCTAAGGGGGTTAGGAGCAGAAGTCCCACTGATTTTCAATGGTAATTTTGACCTTAAATCCCTGAGGTAATGTTAGCCCTCCCCTTGATTTACATCTACCCTTTGCCATTGGCTTCCTGATACCCTGGATTGCACTGGATGACATTTGTACCCACTGAAAGTTAAAGTTTTCTCCTGCACTGAACAGAAGCCCTGAGTACCACTGAAATCCTTGGGTTTTAGGTTTTCAAAAGATGGGTTGCTGTGAAGCTTAATATTTTGATGTCACTGGTAGAAGGGGCTAGAGAAATATCGAAGACCCTTGGCACACATTACATTTGTGGTACAATGAATGTATCAATTGTGCCATAAATAGTACAGTGCTATGTATGCAGCTGATTTATAGTGCCATAAACTGGTAAACCAGCCACAAAGATGTGGAATATCTTTAGGGCTCATTCATATGGCACTGTAAATCAAACATGTAGCATGTCCATGCCAATCTCCTGATTGTTAGCCCCGGACAGCCCCGGTTCCAGTGTCAGAAATGAGCTGCTGGGAGACTGGGTTGCAAGTAGCTCTCTCTTCTGGGAACTTGGCAAACCCCACACCAAGCAGCCTTCTCTGCCTTACCCTGCAGCACTCTCAGGAAAGCACTTGAAAATGCTGAGTCATGGGGAGTCCTGGGGATCCCTGTTTTCTGGCTGGTTGACTGTCATGCCCCACAGGGCAGCTGCACATGCAGTTTTCAAAGGTCCTAGCAGGAGAGCCTGTGGGTTTGCAACTACCAGGGAAGAGGCAGGGAAGGGGGCGGGAGTGACCTAATCTCCCTGCTGGCAGTAGCCCAGTTAGAACCCTGATTCCAACAACCACATGCCTCCTGTCATAGACGTGTGGCATGGCAGGAGTTACAATTGTTGGGATTGGGGATCAGATCCCATCATGCCATTAAGTAAATGTGTGCCAGCATCTTACTATTTTTTAGTTCTGAAATAGCTTTCCAGTTTCACTTTTTTCTCCAGGGCCAGGAGAGCTAGGTGCCTTCCCCACATACCTGTGCCCAGCTCAATTTACAAACTGTGAAGCAGTAGGATTTGCAAAGGAACAGGATCTCTACTGCTCTGCAGTGCAGGACCTGGACACCAGTTCAGTACTGCACTTGAGACCCACTAAAGTTACTAAGATTTAGACATCTGGGATGACCATGTGTTTATCATAGAAGTTCCCAGTTGCATTGCTGTTCCCACAGAGAGAAGCTCCCCTTCTCCAGCCACAGGGATGATATTTCCCTGTGTCCTGCTTGCAGGAGTATGAGAGGTCCTCAAAGATGGAGCAGTTTGTGAGTCGCTTCCTGCTGCGGGAGACCATGAACCAGCTACAGTCCCTACAAACCTCGCTGGAGTGTGCTTCGGACACTATTGAAGAGCAGGCTGGGAGAGAGAGGTAACCCTGCTATAGCTGGGGCAAAGGGACCTGCTGGCTAAGGGAGCAGCCACCTGAGGGATCAACAACTGTATGTGACCATGCTGGTCGGCTTTCCCAACTACAACTCCCTCCATAAGCTTCCTCCAGAAGGACATATCTCTGTCACATGTGCTTGGGGTACAGCCTCTCTAACTGTATGGTCAGGGGGTGGCTAGCTTTCCCTGTGCAATGCATTTGGGACCCATTTGTTTCCAGTTTGCTCCCAACATAGCCTTGGCTCTTGGTCTCACAGAAGAGTGCAGCTACAGCACTGCAACCTGGCGATAGGCCATTCACACAGCAGCTCTGCAGAACTATTTGTGCAGGGAGTGCTAGAGAAAGTCCCATTCCTGCATGGTGCTGCCCATTCTGCTTCTCCTGGGCTTCACATCCAGCTTTGTGACTTGTTTTGACACATCGGTTACTAGCAAATAGTCCTGTTCCTAGAGGGCAAAGGAAATGATGAAAAGCAACTACTATAGGCTGGAAGCATTTGGAGATTCACTTGACACCATCATGTGCTAATCTCTGAGCTAGATCCCTTGTCAGTTAATGCACTTACTGGGGCACACTCTGCCCCAAACAGACTATTGATAAAGATCCCAGGAGCTGCTCCCACTGTCTGTTTCAGCCCATTAGGTGCTTTACTTGCTTAAACAAGCATGGAGTAAAACAGAGCCTGAGCACACATCCCATTGGGAGTGCTCAGCACCAATTCCAATCAGCTCAGTCACTCATGGGTAACTGAGGTGGGCCAGATAAGCCATTTTCTTGTTTGTTACTGAATATTGATGCACAAATTAATGTATTCCCAGAAGCAGGTGAGACTTTCTCAATATTTTGGAGAACTTTGAGCAACACGACAGTATTTGGGACTCAAGCTCTTTCTCTGTGGCCAGAAAGCGCTGATTTTATAGATGCTTTTTGGTCTTTTCTAGATTTTCAACCTGCCTTTTGGTCTCTCAATTTCAGTAACATGTGGGGATTTCCTCAGCTCTGTGCCTGGTCTCTGCAGCCCTGCTTGCTTAGAAGTGACAGAGAATGCACAGAATGGCATTAACTAATGGACCAGATTGAGTTAGAACAGGGGTGGGCAATTATTTTGGGTGGAGCGCCACTTACCAAGTTTTGGCAAGCTGCCGAGGGCCGTGCCCCAACCTCTGGTCACCATCTTGGTACCAGAACTCGAATTCTCTAACCCCTGACCTTTGCCACCAAAAGTCCCTCCCCTTGCCCCTAGAATAATTCCTTTCAGCAACAGTTTTTGCCATCTTGGAACCAAAAAAATACCAAATAATATTCTAAAAATCAAACATCTACAACATACATTAATTTGATTTCAAAAAATATTTTTGTCCTGATTTACATGCGTTTGTGCAGTGTCCATGGAGGTGATTGCACAATAGCTTAAAGTGAAGTCTTACTCTTGTATATTTGGGGGGCGGGGAGGCATGGGTATAGGTTTGTAGAGGGCTGTTAGTGTGTGGGTATGTGGGGAAGGGTATGGGGGGGTGAGTGTGGGATGAGGGAGCATGTGTGTATGTGTGGATATGTGGGTGTGGGTAGCTATGGGGTTTGTGGGGGACTATGTGTGGAGAAGGGTGGCTGGGGCGTGTGAGGGGGTATGGGTGTGGGGGTCTGCATGTATGGCAGGGTGAGGGGGGTGTGGGTGCATGTATATACTGGGGTGTGTGTGTGGGACTCACCCTATGAACACACACACACACACACACACACACACACACACACACACACACAGTCTCTCCTTCCCTCACTGCACACACACAGACACCTGCTGTGCCACCCTCACTACACACATGCGCACACAAACACAGTCTCTCCCTCCCTCATTGCTCTTTCTGTCTCTCTCTCCCCTTCCTTCATTGCAGGAACACACACACACCTCCCACTCCTGGCCCTGAGGTACCTGCATGGGCCCCTTCCCACAGTCCAGTGATGCAGTCAGAAGCCACGTGGTGCTGCTGCAGCCAGCTGTGCAAGGAAGCAGTGAAAGCTGTGGCAGGCAGAGACTTCCAGTTGGGGGAGGGAGAGGGTGGCAGGGGGCTGGGGCTGGGGCTGGGGCTGGGGCTGGGGGAGGGCCAGGCTGGCCCTGCTGGGGGGGCCTATTTTGGGCGGAGGGCCGCTTACTGAGCTTTGGCAAGCCATCGAGGGCCACATGACAGGCAGTCAAGGGAAGATAAATATACATTTTCTAAATTTTTTAGGGGCCCCATGGGCCAGGTAGAATGGCCTGGCAGGCTGGATCCAGCCCATGACCTGTATTTTGTCCACCCCTCAGTTAGAATCACAGACTCATAGAAAACATGGCTGGAGGGGACCATGAGAAATCACTTAGTCCCTCCCAAGGCAGGACTAACAATCTCTAACCCATTCTGGCAGATATTTGTCTAACCTACTCTTAAAACCTCCAGTGCTGGAGATTCCACAGTTCCTCAGATGATCTATTCCAAGGCTTACCCAGCCTTACACTTAGGAAGTTTTTCCTAATGTCTAAATTAAATCTCCCCTGCTGCTATTTAAACCCATTACTTCTTGTCTTATATACAGTGGATGTGGAAAACAGTTTATAAATTTCCTCTTTGCTGTAACCTTTTATGTATTTGGCATTCATTTACATACATTTGCATACCGTTGCATACAGTTGCATTTATTTACATATTGACATTTATCATTCCTCACCTCACTTGTCTCTCCTCCAAGGTTCTTTCTTTTTCTCTTCCTTTTTAGGAAAGATTTGAAGAAATCTGAAACCTCAGTTGGCTTGAGATCCACAAGAAGATGTAGGCGCAGAACTCACAAGAATGTCTGCCTGTCTCCAAAAGATCCCTATTCTGGGATGCTGACTACAGGTACCAGCAAGGGCAGACAGCTGAAGAAAAAGCATTTTTGTTTCCATGAACTAGATTTTCTGCTCTTAAAGGAAAGCAGCCTGATTGCAATAAGACATGGCAGTAAATGACGACAGAAAAGAGGTGTTGCGGTGCTTTCCCGACAGGGTGGGATTTCTTGTGTCATAGTCTTGCAAAATCTTGTTTGTCTTTTCTGTAATTTTGCTTAGCTTGATGGATGGGGAAACATCCAAAATTAATTTAAGGAGAGGAAAAGAAAGAAATAAAACCAGGTTCTTATTTCAAGTGATATCCTACTGCCGTAAGAAGTCAGTTGGACAGACACTTAGGGGACCATTCCACCATCATTTAATTGGAGTTGCTCTGGTGAAGAATCAGAGTTTGGGTCTGGTTTGACTGAATATCCAATTGATCAGTAGTTTATTCATATAGTTCCTAGCCCTGCCCCTCATATCAACACCACTTCACAGTGTCTTTGCTTTCCCTGACAGTGCTCCCTATCCAGCAATCCTGAAGATATTTCAGCTAAGCACTTACCCTTTGAAAACTTGTCTGAACACCAGCCTGTATTTTGAACCCTGTGAGTTCTCTTACCTGAGGGGACCTAGTTCCATCACAGGCAGAAACATGCTGAGGTGCACATGGAGCCTGGTCCTGCTGCTGTCAGGGAGGGTCTGGGCATTCACTTCAGCGGGAGCAGGAGCAGGCTTATATTGACAAAAAACACCACAAGAAATCCACAGGTTTCTGGCTCCACCTCCACTGAAATCCAGACATTGCAGACATTTGCAGCCACAATGAAAAATGTACTCTTGACAGAGAAGGAATAAAGCATTGCTTGCCTTCTATAGCCAATAAATGCCAAATAAATCTGTCCTGTGAGCACTAAAGAAGAGCAATAAATCTTACCCCTTCATGCAGCTATTGAGCCTACTGCCTTAGAGCCTAAATGCTGTAAAATGCTTAGACAGATGGCATAGGTGCAAAAGAAGCTGTGCCACTGCTATATGAACAGTCATGATGGCATCTCTCTGTTGCCTCCTAGGTGTTTGTGTAGAAGCTGACAGCCAATGGATGGCTCAGATTAACAGGCTACAGCAGCTCATCAACAAATTGGAATGCAAGGTGAGTTGGCAGAGGGGAAGCTTGTTCTGTATATGCTAGAACACCTCAGCCCTGCCCCACAGCCCTTCCCGCCAAGTAATTTAGGCCTCATTGGTAGCATGCTTCTTATCTTAGTCCCAGGTGTCTCCCTTAGCACAGTGCTGTTGATAAATTTCTGTCCTATGCTGCTGTACTCCCTGCTGTCCCAGTTCCGGGCCTCCTCTCAACAAATCTACTTCAGTCCTGTCTCGAGAACCTGTCGTATTTCAAGTCTGTGATTTCCATGCAAGCCTTCATTCTTACCCACCGTGTCCTCTCCGTTTCCCTTTGTGGGCCTTCCCTCACACAGCTCACCTGATGTGTCCCAGTTCTTGTTGTAGCCCTTCTTCCACTAGTCTGAAACCTCTCCTGAACAAACTGATGTTCTGTCATGGTGCAAGTTGGTTTGGTGGAGACAATACTGGAGAGCCCACACTTGCTTGCCCTTGTGATCAGACTCTCCCATTAGTAATGATATTACTTTTGTATAAAATGCAGAGCCCAAGACTGGAGCCTCTAAAGGAAGAAGTTGCTTGCAAAGGGAGAGATGCTGTAAGTCCCTTTCTTGTGCATTTATTGGGGATATCACCTGGCTTTGCCCTGTAGCTGGATTCATTGTCCCATGGTCTCACAGTACTGATTGGCAGGGATGGAACCGGAACAGAGGGCAAATTAGGGCATATGGGCAGACCATTAAATGAGGAGAACATGGCTCCATCTAACTGGATGTTTCTTGAAGGGAACAACATTGGGCATTTGAGTCCTGCATTGTAGCAGTCTTCAGGTCCACTTCTTCAGGAGCAAGGCAGAGTAGACCCTGATGGACAGGTGCCTGAGGTGGGAAGTCCACCAGGCCAAGGTGCATAGCAGCTACACCTTCTCTTGAGCCAGGATAAGGGCACACGTGATGCATGGAGCCTACCAAGTAGGCCATGCTGACCAGGAAGAGGATGAGGCCCAGTGGCTACAGGGAGTATGAATTCAGCATGTGCCTCAGCAGCTCTTGCGAACAAGGCTCCTGGTGGCTCCCAGGTATGAAGGGAAGCCTCCTACACTGGTCAAAAGCTGTGGGAGGGATAAGTAACAATGCTACCTACCCTCTGTCAAGGGAAAATCTCCCCTGAGGAACAGGCTGTGTAAATCACACCAACATGAGTGAATACAGCCTGCTGGGTCCATCTCAGGTGTCACAGTGTTGGCCACAGTTCTGTTGTTTAGTTTAGAGAGAAGACAGAATCCCGTGGACATTGGGACTAATTGACTGCACCAAGTGCTGTAATGGGTCAGGAGAAGGAAAGAGACTGCTGCCTTTATATTACCAGAATGCAGCTCTTTCAGCAATGGGATTAATGTGAATATCTATTAAGACAGGGGTTGTCAACCGGGGGTATTCATATCCCTAGGGATACTTGAGAAGGCCCACAAGGGTATGTGCGGGCAGATGTTGACGGAGTGCCACCAAACATCATCCTGTGCTGCTGTGCAGGTGCCACCTGCCCAGCTAGATGCAGGGGGCGGGGGAAACTTGCACACGGTGGCTTCCACTGTCCCATGTTTAGTCGTGCACTCCCCCACCCCACACTCCACGTCTGGCCACCGGGGGTGCACTGCTCTGCGCCTGGCCACTAGGGGTACACCGATCAAAAAAGGTTGAAAACCCCTGTATTAAGATAGTCTAGGCTGGTCAGAGGCCTAACCCCAAACCGTATGCTCTCTCCCAGCAGCACATCCTGGTGTCTCAGAGACAAATCTCAGTGACAAAGAATGGCTTAGATGAATTCCACCAGGCACTCAAATCGTACACAGAGTTCACAGCTGGACAGAGCAGCTGCTTACAGTAAGTCTCCTGAGCAGCAGTGCTGCCTGGTTTACATTTTACATGGGTGAAATAGGTATCTGTAATATTACTGATATCAGCACTTTGCACCCTCATCTGAAACATGCAAAATTTCGTTTTTTGTGCCATAGAATGTAACTGCTCTAAGTAATAACAATATTTATAGAGCAAGTCATATGTCCAGGATACCCTTCACACATCAACGAATTCATCTTCACAATACTCTTGAGAAGGAGGTAAATTCTATGATATTACTTACATACTTAAAATAGGGACAATAATAATAACAACAACAGTGATAATAAAGAGCTTATGTTGCAATCCCATGGACTGGAACTGATGTTTATAAATTGGCAATCTTTTGTCTTGAGCTTGGGAGGTATATTTACAGGTCAAGATGTTGTTGCAATATGGAAGATATCTCTAAAATAACAGGCTTTTTGAGACTGTGGACACTGGGAGCAATGCCTGTTCATCATCATCATCAACACTATCTGTTTTTAAATGCTAGAGCATTTTAATTAGAACACAGAGCAGACTCAATTAATCTAATCTCATTCTAATTAAAACATGAATGAGTACATGTATAAGTAACCCATGTGCCTTGAATTCCAGTCCCTTCCTGATAAATGATTATCTTTGTCCTTGAAAAAAGAAGCTAGATAAATTCTTCTTTTTGTACAGAGGGGAAGCAGGAGCCCAAAATACTTTCACAGTTGCCTCTTATCAGCCCCCATTATAGATTAATAGCTATATTTTTCAGGTTTGTGGATGTCTGAAGATGGCTGGTTTTGAAATGACCCCGATGACCCCGAGTGGTTTAAGCGCACATTGATCACTGAAAATAATAGGAACCAGGGCGTTTTTACACATGTTTTTACACATGCTGCAGCAACACTTGCAGTTGTATAAGTGGTGAAATGCACTTCAGCACTGAGAAAATGGTGGCGGCGTGCTTTTGAACTAAAACATGTTGGAGGTGTACTCCGAAGTGGCAGATCTCCAGCACATCAAAGGATGAAAAAATATGTGTATAAATGCTCTTAGGACAGTTGCTGTTTCATTTATTAGTTGCCTGTGTAGACTAAGTGGAACAGAATCCAGTCCTTAGAGTCAAAAGGAATGTCTGTCAAAGAAAGCAGTAAGATGGAGCAAGGTGCAGGTGATAGTGAATTAACTGATCGTATAATGGAAGATGAACTATCAGTATGACAGGCAGCATGACCTGGTGGGTACAGCCGGGACCTGAGAATCAGGGTATCTGAATTTGATTCTTCACTCTCTGGCTGCATCTACATGAGATGCTGACTGCACAGTTGTTACTACACCGTCATTTAGTACTTGTATAAACAAGTACCAAACGACAGTATAGTAACCAGAGTTATTGTGCAGTAGTATCCCTGAACAGCTTTTTCATGACACTAACTGCACAGTAGCCCAAGATTACTGTGCAGTAGTGTTGTGTCATACTTTGTGCCACATGACAGTAGTGCACAGTAGTCACAGGCTACTGCAGTCAGCATCTTGTGTAGATGCAGCCACTGTGTCATCTAGGACTAGTGATTGACACTGCAACATCTTAGCCTACTTCTGTATGAAATGGAAGTAAGAGTAGTCATCTCCAAGGGTTCTGTTCCCTGCAGGATCAATGGGAGGCACAACAGGTGACATGCTTTTTGCCTAATGAAGCAGATCAGCCAGTCTGCTTCCAATGACATCTATTTTTTAGCCTGCAACAGGCACCCACGTGTCCTGTGACAAGTCACAGAAGCTTTGTTTGATATGCAAAAAGCAGCAGTTTTTTTGCCTGAACTTAGAAACTAATTTCCATCAACCATTTTGAAGCTGTTTTGAGGTTCAATAAGGAGAAGTGCAAAGTCCTGCACTTAGGACGGAACAAACCTTTACTCCAGGACTGGCTGGGGACCAACTGCAGCAGCTCTGCAGAAAAGGACCTGGGGGTTTCAATGGACAATAAGCTCCATGTGATCCAACAGTGTGCCCTTGTTGCCAAGAAGGCTAACAGCATACTGGGGTGCATTAGTAGGAGTGTTTCCAGCAGATGGTGGAAAGTGATTATTCCCCTGTATTGGGCACTGGTGAGGCCACATCTTATTCATAGATTCATAGATTCATAGAAGTTAGGGTCGGAAGGGACCTCAATAGATCATCAAGTCTGACTCCCTGCATAGGCAGGAAAGAGTGCTGGGTTTAGATGACCCCAGCTAGATGCCTATCTAACCTCCTCTTGAAGACCCCCAGGGTAGGGGAAAGCACCACCTCCCTTGGGAGCCCATTCCAGACCTTGGCTACTCTAACTGTGAAGAAGTTCTTCCTAATGTCCAGTCTAAATCTGCTCTCTGCTAGCTTGTGGCCATTATTTCTTGTAACCCCCAGGGGCGCCTTGGTGAGTAAAGCCTCACCAATTCCCTTCT